CCGCTTATTTTTATTCCAAACATAATACTGTCATAGACCATGCCATTGCAGGACAGTGATGATTCTGATGATCTAGTCCTTCCAGGCAGGTTACAAACAATCTTGTCTTCTGGCCGGAGATGGATTCACTGCCCTCCCTGCAGACACGCAGGCACACACACAGAGCACTGGGAAGTACACATTTACTGTATACTGCATGCCGACTGCCTTGAAGAAACTGTAGCTAACCACCTTATTAGTATTCTTGCCTCCACTGTGTCTCACTTGCAGCATCAGAGGGCTGAGCAAAATGCAGTGGAACAGGGACAGACACAGCTCTGGCAATCATCTCAATGCAGGCTGCCGAATGCTGGGGGTGGGGGAGGCAGCGCATCAAGATTAATAACCTTGCCATAATCCGGGGCACCCTGCAAGCAGACACCTCTGCTGATTGACCCGCTCCTGGCTTGATGAATCTGCCTGGGGGAGAGGGATCCGGCATCTACCTTGTCCCGGGCCCCCCCCCCCCCCTGATTTTGGATGTTCTTTTGATCCTACACCGATCTGGGAAGGTAACAGTGAGCCGAATTATCTGCAGCACACAGCAGCTATTGGAGGTTACTACTGACAGTTTTCATTACACTGGTGTGTGTGTGAGCGCGTGTGTTTGTGTGTGTTTGTGAGTGTGGGTGCCTGCTTTTTGTATGAGATGTGTGAGTGTCCGTGAATGTGTGTGCGTCTGTGTGACAACCAAAGCAGGTATATCGTACAGTTGGAGATTTCAACAGCGTGAAAATATTCTCTGGGCACTTGGACTCAGTCTGTAGCCCCCAGCCTTCACCATCCCCTTCCTCCCCCCACTCCCCCCCTTTCTCTTTTTGCCTTTGATGAGTTTTTGGCTTACTTTTTGGCGGAGTCTCTTGGACACGTTTTTTGCTGGTGCTGGAAGATCAGATAAATGGAACCTTTGAAAACTGATTATTTTTCTTCTATGTGACTTAAAAAAAAAAAAAACAAAGAAGAAGAAAATAGAGTAGTGCAAGATAAGCTAGAGGATTTTAAATTTTCCTTGGTGAACTTTGAGGATCCGTAAAAGAAGGTAAGTCACGGGACTCCTTAGATCTTAGTCCTTGGTTTCTTGCAATGTTTGTGCTTTCCTGTTTGTTTTTGGAAATCCATATGCAGTTTATAAGTGCTTTTTAGAGGCTGTAATGCCCAGAAGAACTCAGTGTGTGGCATTTTGGGGCTATTTTCATGCCAAGGAGATTATTTCCATTTGTATAGCCATCCCCCAGCCCTCTTCCTTTTATTTATTTAACATTTTCACAGTGAATTCTGCTTCTATGAAATCTGGGGGGGGGGGGGGAGCGGAAATCCAGCCTTCTCCCTCCCTGAAATACTCTCTAAATTTGAGGGGAAAAATCAGAATCGCTAGTGGCAGAGGCTCTGAGTAAGAGGCAAAAGTGTGTCTGCTCAGAGACTGAGGGTGGGGGTTGGGGGTGTAATCTGGACTTTATGATAACTTAATAGTAGACTTTTTCCCCCCAAAGCCCTTATTTTTTTCTGGAATAGTTAAATCTGCTCTGGAGAGGAGCGAATGTGTGGAATACAGAGAAGCTGTTTCAACAGCTCTTAATTGGAACAAATGAGAACAAAGTGGAAATTGTTTAGTATTTTGAACCTCCTTTTTTGCACTGATTCTCTTGCGATTGTATCTCATTAACCTTTCTGAATGCTCTGTCCCCTGATTAAGACTAGTGTCTCTCATTTTGGAACATCCCCTTACCCTACATGGTCCCTAGAGAAGGGAGTGCAGTTGCAAATTGCTCTTAATCGTCTACTCTTGGCTGTAAAAGCAAGCAGGCGGCATCAGGAATTCAGGTGACTTTAGTCTCACATCTTGCCTAACTCAGGCATCCCTTTAGTGTTTCCTGGTGGTTAGCTGTGCCTCTTTTTTCTTTTTTCTTTCCCTTTCCTTCAAAGTAAAATGCAGATAGTATTTTACCTATTTCCATCCAGAGGTTACTTAATTAAAGCAAAATAGCCTTTCACTGTGTTAGCATCTGTGTTCCTGTATCTGTAGGTATTTTTATCTGTGCACTGGCATCTCTTAGCTTCTCCCTAGAAGTGAGAATCACTTGTAAATATATTTCTAAGATGCTGAGACCCCCCAGATAGAAGCAATAGAGCTTCAGTCTTCCTCAGCCTATATATGTGGATGGTTTATCCTAAAAGGAATGGTGATATTTCATGGAATGTTGGCCAACTTGAACTGTAACTGTGAACATTTTCATGAAAGAGCTGACAGTATGTTAACTAGGCAGAGGAGAGCACACATAGGTGCTTTGGTAAGTGTGGATGTCTCTTTATAGAGAGGGAGATGATGCAAATTGTAACATGAGCTTTGTTCAGAGACCATTGGGGGTCAAAGATGTATTGGGGCATCCAAGTTGAGGGATGTCAGATGTCATACTTGAAACATTAAGACTGTTTTCTCTAAGAAGGATCTTCCCCCCCCCCCCCCACAGTTCAGGACTAAAAAGAAAAAAAAAATTAGATGAGATTATACCCTGGTACCCTGGTATTACCATGGACTATCCCTTCTCTCTGATGTTTTTGCAAAGTGGTATTAGAGAAACCATTTAAGGAATGGCAGCTGTTACAAGATGCCCCCTACTCCAGCTGACCCTTCCTCCACTCTGCTCTTGGTAAAGATACTATGGGAAGACTGTCTCTTATCAGTGTAATTTATGATCTGTCATTCTTGTCAACTATTTCTGCTCTGGATATTTTCATCTGTTACTCCTAGATTCCAGTTACATTTCTTTCATCAGAAAGGGTTTTTTTCATTTTTAAATGATTGAAACCTAGGAGAAACTCCAGATAAAATTTCATTTTCTTTGTGGCACAAACAACCTGGGACTCGTGAAACCCGAAGGCGAATGTGGTACATACACCAGAAACACAGGGTACTGTTCTGAAGAGCGTACAGAGCCCTGATGCTCCTGGAGGGGGTTTGGAGTTCCCCACAGTCTGCCTGGATCGTCACCATTCCTTACATCGGCAGCTCTTCGTGAACACGCAGCTTTTGGTTACCAGTACCAGGTGCAGAGGGACAGTATATCACACCTTCTATTTTGTGAGGGGACTGTTCTGAATGAAGAGAAGCCCTTTGAAAATGCCGTTCTGGAAGTTGGCAAATAAGTGCCTCTTATTGAGGCTATTTAATTCTGACTTTTCCCCCTCCCGTTCACATTCTCACCCAGGGTGGGTATATTTAGAGTTGTGGTATTGGTTCAAAAACCGGTTGAAGATTATTCTCAACACCATCTAAAAAATAATCAGGATAACATCTTGGCTTTTGTGTATTTGAGATTTAATAATTGTAATGAGTGAATCTTCTAGCAATAGCAACACTTTCATTATCACTTATTTTAAGCTAATAATAGAAATGGGGTACAAGCCAACTCAGGGTTTTCTGATTACAGCTTCTGCAGTGAGTAAAGCCTCTCCCTGGTATGTCAGGGTTTCCTGGGGGTGTTTGAGCAGTTGTAACTTTGCATCTTTATTAGCTTAGGTCAGAGTAAAGGCAAACAGCTTTCTATCAGAACAGGCTCCAGATATATGGCTTTCTTTTGTCTTTTCTGGATTTGTTTTGTGATCAGAGTGGTTTTTGTTTTTGTTAGGTTTGTTGCTTGTTTGTTTTTAGTTTAATGGGGTTTGTTTTCTTGCTTAGTGAGTTCAAAGAAGAAAAGGGAGGGAGAGAACTTTTTGTTTCAGTACAGGTAACAAGTCAGTTGACAAAAGGTTGGACTTCCTGGAAGAAGGAATATATGCAGAGTTAATTTTTTAAAAAGAATTCATTGGTAGAGAATGCCTTGAGTTTATCTGGGGGCGAATAAAGGAAATTCCAATTCCTTCTCTATTTAGTTCCAATCAGTTATCCAGCCTCTCTTTGGGTCTTGGCTCAAGTGAACCAGCCAGGCCCAACATTCTTCCTTGTGTTTCTAAGACCTAGGGCACTTAACACATGAATGGCTCTTTCCTTCTGTAACTAGCAGAGCTGACAGCTGGAAAGTCAGCCACTGAGAACCTTTACAGGAAGCCGGAAAGATCACCCCGTAAATTGAAGAGCAAAAGGGAGCTCTTGTAGCTTGGGCCCTGAAGGTGGGTGAAGACCAGGCGAACTGAACTTGAAGTTTTGATTGCTGAGTCATTACAACAGCCTGGAGCTGTGTGTTAGCTCCACAAACTGATGCTGACACTGGGGCTAATGCTAATAAACTGGAGCATCAGCCTACAGCAGAAAATGCAGACTCTTGGGATGAAGAAGATCCAGGCTCTCATGACAGATGCATGTTTGTATAGTCTTGCTATTGTTCTTCATCCCCTGAGAACTTCTCCCGGTCCCCTGTTAAATTGCAAAGGAAGAGATGGATTAATTAAAGTGAAGGTAGAACAGGGGCTTTGCAATGGACTAAATCAATTTACTCAATTTATCTGAATCCCCATTTGGGACTACTCAGTATACTGTCACCGGTAAAAGTGGGGTTGGGTGGAGGCAGGGGTTAGAATCAGGAGAACGTTTGAAACTTAGGTGTCAGTCAAACATTGATGGTGCACTTGATGGTCAGTAAGTCACTGAAAGTCTCAGAACTCTGATCATTCTTCCTGTTTAGGAATAAGCATCCTTATAGTGTGTCCTTGGGATTATGATGAAGTATTATAGATATAAATATATTTAAGTATAAATTTAAATAAATATTTAAATATAAAATGATCTGTTATTACACTGCTATGGAAATGTAATGTACTATGGTAATGATGACTTCATATATGGTTTAAGTCTTTACAAAATAGTTTCTTCAATATGATTTTCAAATTAAGCAGAACGTATCTTCATAATGGTGATCAATATTTGTGGTATTTGGGTGTTTCACAAATGTGTTGACTATACCTCACCTCAGTAATTTCTGTGGCACACTCTTGGTTGCAGGTTTGTGTATGTGTGAGTGCCTGTGCAAATGAGCACGTATACACATGCTCAATTACTTGCAAATAATTATACCTCCTATAGGAGGTGCAGCTTCAGATTCATGAAAAATAGAAAATGTGATGATCTCAATCCATTGTCATTGGATATCCAGAGAGGACAGGAAAGACTTGGACATCTAGCCCTTTTGGGGGGACTACACAGATCATTATAGGGTTTGTGGAGTCTAGAAAACTCTATTCCACAATAAGGCTGTTGACTAGAATTTGAGTTAAACTTGGAAATTGTATCAACAGGATCGCAATGAATTATCTTTGCGGGATAGATAGACCAGAATTAAAGGGCTCAGTTAGAGATCCTTATGACAAGAAAATATGGTAGTGATGGGCATTGGCTTTGAAGTTGGACTTGGGTTGGTTACCTAATCTCTCAGAACCTCAGTTATCCAATCTGTAAAATGGGGATAATCAATCATTCAATGGGCCTCTGTGTGAGTGAATAGATGAGTGTATATGTACTTGACCCTTGAACAATATACGGGTTAGGGGTGCCAGCCTCCAGGCAGTAGAAAATCTCCTGTAACTTTTGACTCATCCAAAACTTACAGCTTACTATCTGTTGACCAGAAGCCTTACTGATAACATAGTCAATTAACATATTTTGTAGTATGTATTCTATATTGTATTCTTACAACAAAGTAAGCTAGAGAAAAAAAATTTTTTTTTCAACGTTTTTTTTTATTTATTTTTGGGACAGAGAGAAACAGAGCATGAACGGGGGAGGGGCAGAGAGAGAGGGAGACACAGCATCGGAAACAGGCTCCAGGCTCCGAGCCATCAGCCCAGAGCCTGACGCGGGGCTCGAACTCACGGACCGCGAGATCGTGACCTGGCTGAAGTCGGACACTTAACCGACTGCGCCACCCAGGCGCCCCAGAGAAAAAATCTTTTTAAGAAAATCAAAGGGAAGATATGTTTACTGCACTGTAAGACATCCACGTAATAAGCAGATCCACACTGTTCAAACCTATCTTGTTGAAGGTCAGCTGTTATAGTACTTGGCAAAATTCTTAACACAAAACTGAAACTCTATAGTTTCACATATAT